GCAGGGCCCTCTCATGCCAAGTGAAGGGACTGCTTATGGATTGGAGCTGGCTAGGTACGGAGCGAGCCTCGCAAATTAACGCCGCTGAAAGCGAGAATTTTTCCGCGTGCGAGTAGGAATAGTCAATTGGAACGCTCTACGGAGTACCACCGCCTGACACTACTAGTATAAGGCTCGGAGAATATGCCATAAAATGGTAATAGGGTCAGGCTGAGGGAACCTGCGATTTCCGCTTGGGGACTTTGGGCGCCTACCCATTGGCTGGTGACGGCAGCGAGGCGCATGCCATCGGCTGCATTGATTAGGGTACAGTGCAGCTGTGCTTATATGATGAATGCTGTGATGATATCGGTCCACTTTTACAGGATGCAGAAACAAAGAACAAAAAACGACAGCAGTCGGATTTGAACCGACGCCTCCGAAGAGAATAGATTTCTAGTCTATCGCCTTAGACCGCTCGGCCATACTGTCTTAGTATACTGCAGGAATGATAGTAAGGTTTATGTTGCAACTCCCTTTTCGGATAGAAGAAATAGGCATTTCCAGAGGGATCAATGGGCGAGGAGTGGTGGCCCATTACTGTATCACTATAATGTTGATCAACCTTGCTTAGAGACGTTCTTGCGGAGCGCCAGGATATACCTGCAGATTATCAAAGGAAGACTTGTTCGCAATACCAATGGAAAGAAAAGAAGATAGGTGTGAGTATGTGAATAGATGCACTATCGACGCAATCGTGGAAGAGCAGATGGTTGATTGTTTCTAGTCTTTTGCAAAGACAGGGAGGGACAAGCCGCAAAGCAAGGAAAGCAGGACTCACTGACGACCAGAGACAATGAGACCCACCACGAAGGCGCTAGTGCGACCGTGGACGAGCAAAAAAGAAACGACAGCAGCCGGATTTGAACCGACGCCTCCGAAGAGAATAGATTTCAATGATGATTCAAGTCTATCGCCTTAACCACTCGGCCATACTGCCTTCGATGAATAATGCTGTCGCTGCTTCGTTATATGGCCATAACACTATACTGTAATCCCCAGTAGAAGCGCGGGCGTTTGTCAATGGTGTAGCGCATGTAACGGGTTGGATAAGTCAACAGTGCCCACCATGTCCATCTCTGGTATGGATGGTATCTATGGAGTGCCTTCACTTCGAATATACAGTGGCTTCAGACTTCCGACGCCCGACTACTAGTTGGGCTTGTCAATAATGAATGTGCTGGCTTGCATCTGTCAGTCAATTCATGAACAACTGATCCTATTGACTTGCAGCCAGTGCTACTTTCCCCTTACTACATGATGTATCCTGTTTGCCGGCAGCAGGACCACCAGGTTTTGCGGCCATCGATATCCCCGCCGGCTGGACTGGGTATGGTCGCTTACGATTGTCGGTGGACACCGAAGTGGCAAAACACGCTTTACTGCCTGGCAGAATCATAACCAATAAGGCCTACTGGGTCCCTTGAGAATACCAAGGTATTAAACAGTAGATTTATTTTACTAGGATTAAACGCCCTCAGCTTATGCCTCAGGAGGAAGCAGTAGAAGAACAATCAAGGCGGTCAATCTGCTGGCAAGGGCGAAAAACGACAACGGTAAGTAGCCGAACCGTACTTCATATACTCTGCCGTGGTAGCAATATACTCGTACGTGGCTAGCATCAACCCTGGCCATGTCGACTCTGTACGTGGGTGATCCATTATTCCAGGAATGAATGGAGAAGCAAAAAACGACAACAGTCGGATTTGAACCGACGCCTCCGAAGAGAATAGATTTCTAGTCTATCGCCTTAGACCGCTCGGCCATATTGTCTTATTCATGGTATCATAATGCAATAATGATTTATCTCTCTAAACAGTCACTGTAGAGTAACCAACGCATCACAGTGTACTGTTCATATGTCTACGTCGCGATATCGTTGGTGGTATACTGTAAAATATGCTGTATCTGGTTGTGTAGAGCTCTATTCAGAGGTATCCCGGGTGTGCTGTCTGTTCACGCGTCTGGATACCTTAGGCGCCAATTTCGGTCCCATCATATATATCTAGTGGGCTGCCCGTGTGGCTTACGCATACGTATATTTTTGCTGCACGGATTAGACACCAACAACAGCACAGGCACTGGAATGAATTGAGTCATCAGTACACAAAGCCATGTCCTGACCACACTGACACAATCCGACCACACCGCCCAGCGTCACAAGACAGTGGCAACACACCCCTCTCACCGCATCTAGAATCCTACATAGCAGATGTCATAGAATAAGAACCAAACCCAAAGGTCAAAGCACCACACTGTGCCCCCTCCACAATCCATTCAACACCCCTAAATCATCATAAGGCATTGCAGGTAAAGGTAGCAACCCGATCAAGTCAGTCATCATCACATGCACCTGAGTATCTCGAGCATGTGTAAGTCGACCCACCCTGACTACAATATCAGAGGTTTACCCCAAACGACCCTAGTCTACCACGAGATACACAAGAAACGGGCGGCGGCACATCCGCTGGCATTGCTGGAAAAGTGTGCCGCCTGCCCGGCCCGTAGATGACCGAGCACAGTACGCATGGCCAATAGCCGATAGAGGTTACAACGAAAGAAAGAATGAAGAAGACCGTGACATCAGACCACGACAATTATAAGACCACAACGACACCAACAGCGCGAGCATAGAAACCGCATTAGATTTGCCCCCAAGGCATCCAAAAATCTCAAATCATAAGATCATCACCGCATTAGAACATGAATAGACAGGGACCGAATAGACGACCACATCACCTCTTCGCCCCGGGCTTTGAAGCCCTCACATAGGATGCGTTCCCCGCGGCACTGTACGCGGGTGGGGGGGTCGGAGTAGGCGACGGCGCTCTCCCTCCGTAGGAGGCCTGTGCCTGACTGTCACTCGCCTCAGCAGGGAGTTCACCGCCATCACCGGTACCAACAACCACCTGCTTGCCGTCACGCATGCGCCCAACAACCATGCCCCGGGCGACAGACTTCAGGAAAGCCTTGCGGCTGACACCCGAGGCATCGATGTACACCAGCCCAACGTTCTTAACACCGCCGGTCAAGTTGGATGCCACAGCCCCGGCCTGATCGCCGTACCGGTGTCCAACCATAGTGGTGGCAGCGTTCGAGCTAGAGGTCAAGACGTGCCGGGCACCCTGCTCAATGCCGTCCGCCAGAGTCGAGAACGCGATCAAGGACTTATTCAGAATCCCGGGCTTATACTCGTTGCCGTACTTATCGATACCCCTTTGTCGCTCCGTGTTGTTCCGGCGGGCCAGCGATGCCCCAATGTTTTGGGCATATCTCCCAACCTGACCAACGGTTTTGGCCGAGAGATCGGCGGCGCCCTCAGAAAAGGTGCCAACCTTGCGGATGCGCGAGTGGGTGGTCTCGGAGAACGTCATCGGCTTCGGGTTTGGCTTTGTCTTCCTGGTGAAGGTGTCGGCACCACTCGTAAGCGCGTTGGCGAGATATGTAGACCCGGTGACAATCAAACGTGAGGCCTTCGCAGAAGTCTGGACGATGGTCGACTTCTGGTAAGCCGGGTGACGTGCCATACGTAGATACTCCTCGGACACGTTGCTGACATTGACCTTGTTGCCCTCGCCTTCGGAAGGAAGCTCGATCTCCACGGGCCCTAGTGAGGTTAGAATCATTTTGCGACCACGAACAATGGAGATCAGCCGTGCAGTATAGAATCACTTACTCTTGGAGCCAGGTTTGACGTCCAGTCTTTCCACGACGTCATAGCCCTCCATCTCACCCACCACACTGCCATCCTCCTCATCAACCAGAACAATTCTACCATGTGCATCACCCCCAGAAGAAGCGGCAGAAGAGACATATCCTTCACCGGGTGCATACGTCGAGGGGTTGTAAGGAGCATGGTCCCCGGCTGGAGGTGCGCGGTCGAGGAATGCAGTGCATTGAGCGAGGATCGTCTCAAAGGTGTCGATATCCTCCTGTGTCACTTTGCCAGGCCCATGTCCGATCGAGGGAAACTGGATGCGAATAAAGGCTCCTGCATCAGGACCCAGATCCCAACGAGGGATTAGGTAGCCGTTCGGCGGCTGGTGGAAAATCTGGGTGGTTGCGGGGAGAGCCAAATCCAGCTCCGGTGGCAGATTCAAATGAAGATAGAAGTCTTCCTCTGTGAGTGCATCCTGGGAGGACACGGGGAACGAGCTTCCGGGGATAGCGGTCTTGGTCGGGACCATCAACAAAGAAAGTGTTTGCGGTCCCGACGGAGTGAGCTCCGACTCCTCGCCGTTCTGGATGTGAAAGGCGCGAATGTTGTCAATACTGTACAGAAGTCTTGGGTCATGCGTGGTGGAAGCCATGGCTGCGACTCCGTTGACTCTGGGCCGGTTGTGACGAAGGAATCAGGATAAAAAAAAACCGCGAGGGCTGTCGACGTCAGGTGGGGACAAGGGGGTCGGTAATGCGGGGAAGGGGAGCCGATAATGGGACAAACACAGTCGCAATGAAGGCGAGATAAGCAATGAGGATTGAACCAGAGGAGTAGTTCTCAAGTAGGTAGAGAAGGGGAGAATTGATAGAAACCCGCCGCCTGGGAGACAGGCCATAAATAGCAAGACACAGCGCCCCCGTCCCTCATGGCGGGCCAAGTCCGTCATGGAGGGGTGTGGGATGGATCCATCAATGGATGAATGAACGTCAGACCCTGGAATGACATAAGCACTCTGACGCCTCCCGACGCCTCCTGACGCCTACTGCGCCACACCTCCATCACCCCTGCACCGCCACCGATTGATAAGGCGAGCTGTGAGTGGCTGGGAAAGGGCAACAACTGACCTACAGGCCCAACGTACCTGAAGTGTACAATTAATACGTGTACCGTGGACTTCACCACCACCTCAACGATTCCAACAGAGGAGCGTCCCAAGAGGCGAATTGTTCGAGTCCTTCCAATCAATACTTCGAATCGCTTGAAATCACCTTCCGTGGTAGCTGAAACCGACCAGCGGCTACAGGGACCTTTTTTTTTTTTTAGCATTCCCGGGCGCTTAAGCACTGGCCTCCGACTGTATCGTAAGTCGTTGAGCTACTACTGGCCCATCCTACAAGCGATCTGGACATCGAAGCGCACCGAGCCAGCGCTCCCCTTCCCCCCCGCAAGCATGGCACAGTTCCAGATTCTTTCCGACCTACACCTCGAAAACCCGCGAGCATACGACCTCTTTGAGATCACCCCGACCGCGCCCTACCTGGCCCTGCTGGGTGACATCGGCAACGTCAAAGACGACGGCTACCTGCAATTCCTCGAAGCCCAGCTTCAGCGGTTCAAGATCGTCTTCCTCGTCCTGGGCAACCACGAGCCCTTCGATGCCAGCTGGCCGGCCACTCGCGAACGCCTGCAGCAGTTCTCCGAGGAGATCGACAACCGGCGTCAAAGGGCGGCGGCGACGACGACATCGTCGCCGCGGCTGGGAGAGTTCGTCCTCCTCGACCGCACGCGGTACCGCCTCACGCCCCAGGTGACGGTCCTGGGCTGTACATTCCACTCGCGCGTGAGTGAGACACAGGAGGAGACCGTCAGCCACGCCCTGAATGACTTCCACTACATCCAGGACTGGACGGTTGAGCAGCACCGCGCGGCCCACGAAGCCGAGCGGGCCTGGCTCAACGACCAAGTCACCGACATCGCCCGGGACGACCCGCATCATCGCATCGTCATCTTCAGTCATCACAGCCCGACCGTCGCGGCGGCGGCCGTGGATCCGCGCTACGCCGACAGCCCGATCACGTCGGCGTTCGCGACGGACCTCATCGGGGAGCCGTGCTGGGAGCGACCGCAGGTGCGCCTGTGGGCGTTCGGCCATACGCACTACAACTGCGACTTCACGGACGATCGGTCCGGGAAGCGGATCGTGGCGAACCAGAGAGGGTACTACTTTGCGCAGTCCATCAAATTCGATCCCTGCAAGGTGTTTTGCGTTTGAATGGGTGTTTTGCGTTGACAACTTTGAAAGTCATTTCGTGTTTGATTTGAAATTTGTTCTCGTTTTTTTTTTGCTTGATATATAGATTAGTATAGTATATTCATAGCGACAATAGAGCATAGCATTTCCCCTCCTGTGGTAACTCTGCAAGATGCAAGATGCAAGATGATGCTGCCTCATATAATGTGCGGGGGAATGGAATGATTGAAGAATGAATGCCTTTTGTCGGACGGATGATCTGCAGTTGGTTTGCACCAAACCCATGGGACCCATGGGAACGCCGCGTTTAGCCGAGGCTCGACATACCTCGGCCTCGTGATTAGCTTTTGGGTTGTCTCTCCCCGGGCCATTTCCCCAGAACGCTGGCTTCCCTTTCCCCGTTCTCCGTTCCCCATTCCCTCGACACACACCTCAAAGGAACCCCCTCCCGCCATATTCATCCTCCTGCTGGATTCTGTTTTATCTGATTATTAGCCAGCTAACATATACCCGACATCCCGCACTCCCCATAATCACAATGACGAGCCTCTCCCGCGTATTGCGGCCTTTGTCCCGCACCGCTGCTTCCGCCCGCCTTATCGCGACAAGACCGCCGTTGCAGACCCGAGTTCTTCCTAGGTATGAGGCTCTACGCGAGGTGTCCAACCACCGATATCGAACTCCAGAAACTAACCGGACCATGCCATCCGTGCAGCAGTACCCAAGCATTCTCCACCACGTCCCGCCGGCGGGACGTCGACCTGTCCGGGCTGACGCCGACCCCGATCACGTTCCTGTCGGAGACGGAGTCGCTGATGGCGGAGAGCGTGTCGAAGTTCGCGCAGGAGCAGATCAGCCCGAAGGTGCGGGCGATGGACGAGGCGGAGACGATGGACGCGGCGGTGGTGGAGCAGCTGTTCGAGCAAGGGCTGATGAGCGTCGAGGTGCCCGAGGAGTATGGCGGGGCGGGGATGAACTTCACGGCGGCGATCGTGGCAATCGAGGAGCTGGCGCGGGTCGACCCCAGCGTCAGCGTGCTGGTCGACGTCCACAACACCCTGGTCAACACCGCGATCCTGAAGTACGGCGACGCCCAGGCCCGCCGCACCTGGCTGCCCCGGCTGGCCACCGGCACCGTGGGCTCCTTCTGCCTCTCGGAGCCGGCCTCCGGGTCCGACGCCTTCGCCCTGCAGACCAAGGCCGAGAAGACCGCCGACGGCTACCGGCTCAATGGCTCCAAGATGTGGATCACTAACGCCATGGAGTCTGGCATCTTCATCGTCTTCGCCAACCTCGACCCCAGCCAGGGGTACAAGGGCATCACCGCCTTCATCGTCGAGAAGGATACCCCGGGCTTCTCGATCGCCAAGAAGGAGAAGAAACTCGGCATCCGCGCCAGCAGTACCTGTGTGCTCAACTTCGATGATGTCGTCATCCCGAAGAGTAACCTCTTAGGGGAGGAGGGTCAGGGATACAAGTACGCGATCAGCGTGCTGAATGAGGGTCGCATTGGGATTGCGGCGCAAATGACCGGCCTGGCGCTGGGAGCGTGGGAAAATGCTGCTCAGTAAGAGAATTCCCCGCCTTCCCGTTCTCCCCAAACTATCGGTCCATCGCTCGAATTCTCCATTCTCCACCGTATCTTTGATTCTACTGTCCGCACCCAGCATTCTGCAGGGATCAATCCGCTGACCATATCCGACACAGGTACGTCTGGAACGACCGCCGCCAGTTCGGCCAGTTGATCGGCAATTTCCAGGGCATGCAGCACCAGCTGGCCCAGGCGTATACCGAGATCGCCGCCGCCCGGGCGCTGGTCTACAACGCGGCGCGGAAGAAGGAGGCCGGCCAGGATTTCGTCCAGGACGCCGCCATGGCCAAGCTGTACGCCTCGCAGGTCGCCGGGCGCGTGTCCAGCTCCGCGGTCGAGTGGATGGGCGGGATGGGCTTCGTGCGCGAGGGCATCGCCGAGAAGATGTTCCGGGACAGCAAGATCGGGGCGATCTACGAGGGCACGAGCAACATCCAGCTGCAGACCATCGCCAAGCTGTTGCAGAAGCAGTACACTCGCTAAGAGTGCAGCGTATTCAAACTTGTATGAGTTGTTTGACAATTAGCATTGGCCGCACTCAGTAGTGCTAGTGCTAACCGCCCAAGTAATGAATATATTCGAATTAGATACTACGTACCACACTTGAATTCTAGAGTCTTAGAGACTCACTAGATTGAAAATGGCGTGATCGGAATAAACTCCACTTCCGCCGAAAAGGGCCTTCTGCTAGACTACCTAGTCTTTTCCAAAATCACCTTTTTCTTATTTATTTATTTATTTTTTTATTGCTCGCTCTCTGTTCCTGGTCGCGGGTTGGGAAAGCGGGCCCCGTTTCTTTTTTGGAGCTCTTCAAAGATTCCAAATCCAAGTCTCGGGGTCAATTCTTCTTCGAGGCTTAGCTTAGGAAAACAGGAAAGGAACCACCCCTTCCCTTTCCCCCATCCCATCGGAAATCAAAGCCGATCTAATACGTACCGTAATTGCGGATGCATGGATGAGTATTTTGACAAGTGGGCAATTGGGCCACTGAAGAACGCGCCCCCCCCCGTAATCCTCTAATCTAGTAAGCAATAGAAAATGCCAGAACAGGTCCCCCATAATCCTCGTCTAATCCGATCGGAAGCGGGTTACATAAATGCATACAAAAGGGAAATTGATCATCGTGGAAGGGGGGGGGCATCGGCTGGAGCCGATAGTCCAGCCGTGAAGTTCTTTATCCAATAATGTAGCACAAAATGGGAAAGGTCCTGGAAGATGGATAATGGAATTGATTCCGACGGAGAAGAGATTTTGTGTTCTGCACGGTTCAAAATCTCGATCAAGCACTTTCACTTTGGAGTTCCGTCAGCTTCGGCACTTGTGGTGGTCCTTTGCGTCAAAGCAGACAAACTTGTTGTTTGTTCCTGGAGAGCTGGTGGCTTGTGTGCAGAGCCTCAAGGTGGTGATGATAATGACTCGGATGGTGCACCTGGGTTTGTAACCGGCTCCTCCCCGAGCCGGGCTCCGGCCCAGTACCGTGGTTGGCTCCATTCGCGCCATTCACGTTCCGGAAATTTGGTAATAGCATGTGGGTTCAAGGTTTGATTCACCCTCGCTTCTCGAATAAACGAATCCTTGCAGCCTTGCATAATGTTTTGACTTTCGCTTATCTTTCTGACTCCGCGGACTGGTTCATACAACCTTTTTTTATTTTTGGACCCCAATGTGTGCACATCGTCCCGATCATGCCAGTGAAAGATGTGCCAAGCTCGTGGCGTATCTCCTGCATCGAAAAGGTCGGGTATGCTGTGCCGGAACTTTGGGTTAGGCTTGCCTAACGTGCCAAACCTCCCGGGCGCCTCAGCCCGAAAGAGCGTTGGGGGGAGGGGGCGCTCTGGAGTCCGGATGTTATCACGGCTGCTGCAAGATTCCGGAGACCGAGCAGTCAAATCCTAATCCGGACCGACCTCTTATCCAAGTTAATGTGCATTCTCCGCGCCCGTTGGACAAGCGGGACGGGTGCGTTTCATCGCTTGCCACGGATCGTATTATGCTGGGTTCTGTAGCCTCTGAGCCTCTTCTGATTTCTCAAGAGTCAAGATTGATGATGGCTCCAGTCATAGCTATACGCGTTCCTCGACTGTGTCGAATGGGACGAAATGGTATGCTCGTGATATTGCTGTGGTGCCTGGACAACAGGATACCCCGATGATTCTCTTTCTGAAGAACAAGTCGGCACCGACATCGATCGTTGACCCGGAATACAGGGTATTTGGGGTTGGGCGTGGTGTGAGCCCTCCTGCCCGAGACCACGGATAGCCTCGGGGTGGTAGCCCTGCGGATAAGGCGGATAACCCGAATCAGGAGGCTGGGTCGGTTGTGCACAGAGGGAAGGATTGTAACCAATATGGGCTGAAGCGACCGGTAGCGGGTTGGGCGCTTGAATGTGACTTTCATAGACATATGGCTCGAGCCTAGCCCCGTAGTTTGTGTCCGAGGGGTCCCCTACAGAAGATGTCCGAGCTGAACCGTATGGTTGCCACTCGGGAGCTATGGATGTTCGACTTGATGTGGACAGCACGGAAGCTGCCCTGGAAGCTGGATTCAAGCTCAAGGAGTCCGGGAGATGAGGTGAAGGTAGCATGGACCCGGAGGGAGTGCTGTATGAGCCATCTGACAAGCAGTAAACATGGTGATCAGCAATTGGGGCATGATGGCCAATAGGAAGGAATACACTTTGTCACTCACCCAGGCTCGGATGACCCTGCCTGCCTGTGGCCAAGGCTAATTGGTGTCTTAAGGAACGAATCTCCATCTCCATGGCGGTATTTCGTCGGACTATCTCGTCGAATCGGTCGCCTTTGATTTTCAGCTCCGCCACCTGATGCTCTAGACGCTCGATATGCTCCTTTGTCCGCTGACGAATGGTTCTTTGAGCCTCACGGTCATTGGCACGCTTCCTTTCTAGTTGCTCGGCAGAGAGCGACGTCACTTTCCGTGCTCCAGCACGCGATTCGCGTTTCTTCGTCTGCGGAGGTTCCGGGGCAGGGCTCATTCTGCCAACCGACTCGTAGCCAGCTTGATAGTCTCAATGATCAAAGAAGCGACGGTCATATGGGACAGGAATATATGTAGACGGGGGTGCGATAGGCCCCGAGTTTTGTGCTAGTTGGCCCCGGAGGAAGACAGAGAAGTAAAGAGAAGCAGTTCTCTCAAGATGCGACTATAGCTGTTCCGAATGCGTGGGTCGCACTAAACTAGCTATATATATGTTTCCAGCGGGACAAGAAGGAGCCACCAGATTTTAAACAAAAACAAGACTGGCGGTTAGTTAAGATAAGTTAGTAATCGTTGTTGAGAATTATGGTTAGGAAATGGACCCATTTTGGCTCGGGCTGTGAAGCCCCATTCCGGAAGGCCGTCAGATTCGTGCAGGTTTAGGCACGTAAACTGTAAAGGTAAAGGCCCCCCTCCGGGGGGAACCTTAGTAGATCGTGTACATAGCAAAACGAGGGAAAAATTCAAGACTAAGAGGAGAGAAAGGCATTTCCCCCGTCGGTTGTCCTTCGTGGAATTTTTCCCAACGTTACTGGTCATTACCAATGGTCTTCGTTTCTAGCCTCTAACAGGGCCAATGAACAAGGATTTGTCACTAAAATCCCTGTATAGTAGGTTAGTAGTAAGTAGTCAGCACGCTATTACGATGGGGTTGTTCCGGCGCTGCGCTATGTGTACTTTGCCGACCTCCGCCTAGTCCTCCCCTCTCTCTCTCTCTTTCCAATCTACTAACCTACAAGCATACTCCAAGGCTCTTGGGGAGGGGGTAAGAGGTGACTAGGCAGACTAGAGGTTTAGACAGCCTAGTCGGGGTATGTGACGGAATGGCTGGTGCGACGGACTGAGTCGCCACTCTCCTTCGTCAGGTGCCCGACACTGCTGGACACTGCTGCGTCGTATCATGCCAAATGAAGGCAGATCTGGCAGGGTGTCATTTGTCCTTGCAGCACTGACTGAAAGCAGCATTGTCGGAATAAAAGCATCCAGAGATCCAGAGAGCATTGTCCCTCTCATAGGTAGAGGTCAGCCAATCGGTGGATCTTAGTCTATCCGGGCCACATGGCAACCCCGATTGAGCGGCGGATACGGCCCTCATGGCTTCGCCAGAAGAAGACACTCACGGGCTTGAATTGGCTTTCGAGAGCCTCTTGGCAACTTGGTCTCCTACAGGTTGGAAGCTGACCGAAGAACAAAAAGTGGCAATTGAAGGGGAGGGGGGGGGGGCGCTCCCCGGCGCGTGGGGCATCGCCGGGGCACAACCGACCTTCTCTGTAAGGGTTAGAAGCAGGCCGGCGGACCTGGAACAGTGGGCTTGAATGGGCGAAGCGTGTGTGTGTGAGTAGTAGCAGGAACCACGTACGTACCGAAGCTCCGAATGCACAGTTCTGGCGATCTGCGACCTCTGAAGTGGAATGTGCTGCGCAGTCAGCGATCCTTAGATCTCAGCCGGCAATCAACATCGGTGACAATTGGCTGAACGTGGACCCTTCTAGTGTCTAGCCTTGTGATCGTGAACGAATTGCGCATCCCTCGTCTTAGCGCCAGTGAGACTTAAGATCTGACCTAATCCCAAAAGGGTGAGCTATTTCCGAAACCCGAAATCTCCGCGACAAGATTTTTTCCAGATTTGGTGGGAGTTGAGAGGACTTGCGAAAGTCCCTCCCAGTCTCAGCGAAATCACTAAGCTCTCGCTAAGCCGGTTCCATGGTTGCACCTGAATGGTGCTCGCCACGAGGATGAGCAGATCGGATCCACCCCTCAACCCCCTTATCTTAGCCTCCTTGAAATAAGAAGTCGATTCGCTGAACCGAACGGAGACGAGGAGAACTTTAAAAGGTCAATCGGGATACAGCGAGGAGCCCAGAATGCTGGGACTCGTTTAACAGAAGCCCATCGAATAACCGCAGAAGCACGACTTCTCGGCCGTAGCGCATCGCCGCATTTGTTGTGACTTGTACTAACTGCTGGTGCCGGTCTAAACAGCAGGCAAGTTTCAAGACAAGCCAGCGTTGATCTGCGACGAATTGGAATACGGATGGCTGAATTTAAATGCATGACGCATGGTCTCTGTTTGCTGTTCGGTGGGCATTAGATTAATGCTGGAATGCCTCCGATTTTGTGTCGAGACCTGTCTAGTATGCCGTTAGTCTTTAAGACTGCAGCATTATTAGAAGGATCAAAGAGACCCTGTCGTGACCACTGCCGGACGACTACCGATTGTCACTCGCCCAGAAGAAGCTTCCAGCAAAAGCAACCGATTTGATTTCAGAAATCCAAAATAGAACGACGAATTGAACCGAAGCCAAGGAGCAGCCTCTACGCCAGCCATGACGTTGGTGCGAATTCGAACGAGCACCGGCTATTGGTGGTGAGGGGCTAGCTCAGAGTTTGGAGAGTGATCTCATCGATCAAACAATTCTAGAAAGCCTTGCAGTTGCAATGAAAGTAACTGCATAGCGTTATTCTAGTCTGCATCGTGGGGAGACCTGGTAGAGCAGTAGCAGGACCATCTTGTCCGAATTTCTATCGATTTTGCACAGGTCTCTCCATCTTGTCCACCGCTAGATGCGCTACTGCGCCATTGGAGAAATCCATAACGGCCTTGTCTCAAGCATGAGCGCATGCAGAGCCAAGCAGCCTACGACTGCGTGCATGTCACGTCCCGGAGAACCTCCGTTGCATCTTTGTTACGTTACCTGCTTCCATCGTAATCCAACACCCGTAATTCCTTGGAACCGTAGGACTGGGTGCCCAATTCTATGGAGCTGGAGCAGCACGTAGGGAATGTTTGTATCACACCCTGACCGGCACGAGAAGGTCCAGAAGCCATGCATAATAGCCGTGGGCATGGTGGTTGCTTTCTATCTATTGCATGTCTTCGAGCGCCTTGTCCTAGATTCTGCCGTGCGCTTCGTGGCTCAAGTGAGGGGTGTAAGGTGTGAGATGTACGTCGTAGATAACAACTAATCTGCTGGGTGATGCAAGCTCATCGGACTTGATTTGGAGACAAGACAATGCAGACCAGGCCATGACGACAATAATAATAGGCGACCGCTATAGACCGGGGTGTGTCAGCTCGTTATCAGGCCGTTGTCTCGTGATTTGCGAGGGGGGAGGGGAGGGGGCTACGCAGGGAATCGGAATGATGAAAGAAGACCATGGAAAAGATGGTCATAGTCGGGAAAGATGTGTACGTGAGTGTGTGTTCTAGCCTGATCGATTCTTCAAAAGATGACAGGAGCGCTGTTTGTTGTGATGTTGCGAAAAGGCGGGCGACAGAAAGGCGGGGAGTGACAACTGTACTTACCGGATTGGGCCGTTTGGACTCTGCAGCCAGTTAGTTGTGTTGTTATGCTTCTGCTCTCCGCCTTCAGTTCATTCATCAATTATTCACAACGCACTTGTCTCCATTCCTGTCTCAACGACAAACACCCACACTAATGCAAGATTAACTTCTGGCTTCTCTTCAAGGCGCTTAGCGATATCAGCTCATGGATCCGAGCTACAAAGCCCGTAAAGAGGCTTTTGTGTCTAACCTAGCCGGTGGGAGCATCCTCGAGATTAATGCGGTGACCTTGGTAGCTCCGGTATGTTGTTGTGTACACATGTCCAGTATCTGAAAGGCACCTCAGTGTGTACTATTCTTCGAACTCAACCTGCCTCCTCTCATCTTGTCTCTTCTCTTCTGATTCGTGATATCTTCTAGGCCGCCATCCTTCTTTGGTCCCTCCTCCAGTCCCGTCTTTCCTTCTTCTCTCCATACACCTCCGCGGCGCTGGTCACTGATTTCCTACTCAATATCCTTGCGATTCTCTTTGCAACCACCGTGTATTCTGCAGCACCATGGACTCTGAACGCTCTTCTCCTCGCCCCGGCTCTACTGCTGCTGCTTAATTCACGACCTCAACCCGCTCAAAAAAAGGCCAAGCCACCGCCGCATGCTTCGATGGCGAAACAAAGTGAATCCGAGTCCGACCAGTCCCTTCCAATTCTCCCTTATTTGACAACCTATCGGGCATGTATGATGGTCATCACCTGTGCTGCCATTCTGGCCGTGGACTTCCGTGTGTTCCCCAGGCGATTTGCCAAAGTCGAAAATTGGGGAACCTCGCTCATGGATCTGGGAGTCGGGTCGTTTGTGTTCTCTGGAGGGGTGGTTTCGGCTCGCTCAGTTCTCAAGAGTCGTCAAACCGGAGGCCCGAAGAAGTCCCTGGGTCAGCGACTGGTGGCCTCGACCCGCCACTCCATCCCTCTGCTCGCCTTGGGCCTGGTCCGACTGTACAGTGTCAAAGGTCTCGACTATGCTGAGCATGTGACAGAATATGGCGTGCATTGGAACTTCTTTTTCACCCTAGGCTTCTTGCCTCCTTTCGTTGAGATTTTTGACACCCTCGCTGCGCTGGTCCCATCCTACGAGCTCTTGTCCCTTGGGGTTGCGGTTTTGTATCAGGTGGCTCTGGAATCCACTGACCTGAAGAGCTATATACTGGTCGCTCCCCGGGGACCCGACTTGCTCTCCAAGAATCGGGAAGGGGTGTTTTCGTTCGTAGGGTACTTTGCAATCTTCCTGGCTGGCCGGGCCATTGGTATCAGGATCATGCCACGCGGAACATCGCTGTCCACCACCCCGCAACAGGCCCGGAAACGTGTGTTAGCTACCTTGGGGGGCCAGGCTCTGGTCTGGACCGGGATCTTCCTGCTCAACTCGACGTATGCGCTGGGCTACGGCGCAAATCTTCCGGTGTCGCGGCGCCTGGCCAACATGCCATACGTAGTATGGGTGGCGGCCTTCAACAACGCTCAGCTTTTCGTGTTCTGTCTCCTGGAGACGATCTTCTTCCCATCCGTCCATCGGGCGTTGGGAAGAGAGGGCGAAGCGGAGCGGGTCTCCTTTGCAACCAGCCCGATCCTTTCGGCCTTCAACAAGGGTGGACTGGCGGTATTCTTGGTGGCCAACCTTCTCACCGGCGCGGTGAATCTGAGCGTTCCTACCTTGGACCTCAATACCGCTCAGGCCATGGCCATCTTGATCGGGTATCTCGCAGTCCTGACGGGGGTTGCACTGGGGCTGGACCGGGCTGGAATTAAATTGGCACTCTGATGCGCCAGAAAGTGCCAATATTGTATTAGATGATGAGTGTATATTGATCCGACAAAATTAGAGTGTTGCCTCGTTATATCCACTGCAGAGGAAGTTAGCAAGGCTGATTTAGCATTGAAGCACATGGTGAGCCGCGGCTCCGCAGACAAAGGAGGACAGGAGCTCATGTGGGGAATCAATTTGGCTCGACGGGATTGAGCGGAGCCACTAACTTAACGGACTGTGCTGTACTTCCTTCCACCCACCATCTTGTTCACTTTCTCTTTCTCTTCGTCACCCTCATTTCCGCACTCTCCAACCCTCGAATGTGCCATTGAATCTCCGCGCATCATGAGCGCAGAGCCCCAATTCCTCCAATATCCGGAAGTCCGCGAGGGGCCATCCGTCCCCTACAAAAATGAAGACCAAGTGATCCCCGTCTTCCGAGGCATGCCTCTAGCGATCGGAGCGAGCCTGTAAGCTGCAACTGTCTTTCTTCCCTTAGCTATCGCAGCCACCGAGTCACCTCTAGCCCTGCACCTTCAGCTTCCCTCTCTCTCCCTCCCCCGGCGCGCGCCTTCAGAAGACAAGCATAAGACAAAAACTAAACCACCCCGAAATCGTGCAGAATCCAGCACGTCGGCGTCATCCAGAACTACTTCTGGCGCAACGCCGGCTTCAACTTCATCCGCGACCTCCCTCTCGACGACTACGCCCCGCGCTACGATCCCACCGTGATTCCGGTCCTCGACCGCGCGACTCCATCGTCAGCGTCAACGACGACCGCAACACTCCCGGTGCCAACCCAGAAACGGAAAGATCACAAGGGGTACTACACCTCCGCCGACTATGTGGCTCTCTATCAGTCGGGGCAATTGACGCCCTCGGCCGTGGCCGAGGCCCTGTTACCGCTGATCCAGCGCGATGCGGATCCCGCAGGGGAACCAGAGGGCGGCCGCGGACACAAACACTCGGTCGCGTTTCTGGAGTCGCAGGCCGAGCGGGTTCGGGCGGCCGCGGCGGCGTCGACGCAGCGGTACAGGGCGGGCCAACCGCTGGGGCCGATGGACGGCGTGCCCGTGGCCGTCAAGGACGAGGTGCACCTGGAGGGATACCGGCGGACGCTGGGCAGCAAGATCGACTTCAAGGGCAAGTATCAGGGGACTTCATGGTGCGCGAAGCAATGGGAAGAAGCGGGGGCGATCATCATCGGAAAGACGAGCATGCATGAGCTGGGGCTAGGTGATTCTTCCCCCCCCCCTCCAACAAGAGATTTGAGGAGTTTCTAACAAGAAAACCCACCTCACCCGCCAGATACGAACAACAACAACCCCAACTACGGGACCCCGCGCAACCCGCACAACCCGGACTACTACTGCGGCGGCTCGTCCGGCGGCTCCGGCTACGCCGTCAGCGCCGGGCTGGTGCCCATCGCGCTCGGCGCCGACGGCGGAGGGTCGATCCGGATCCCATCCTCCTTCTGCGGAATCTGGGGACTGAAGGCCACGCACGGCCGCATCAGCGGCACGCCGACGGTCTCGCTGGCGCCGACGGTGGGCGTGTACGGCCCGATGGCTAGCAGCCTGGACGACCTGGCGCTGGCGTACCGCATCATGGCGACGCCCGCGCCCGCAGCCCAGGACCCGATCTCCTCCGCCTTCCCCCCGCCCCTATCAACCTTACCACCTTCCACCTCACCATCAACGACAACCCCAGCCCAAACCCCGAGAACGATAGGTCTCATCCCCGCCTGGCTGGACCGCGCCCACCCCACCGTCCGCACCATCTTCAACCAAGCCCTCACGCACCTCCCCACGACCACGACCACCACAACCAAGGACCTAGAAATCCCCTACCTCCCCGAAGGCCAACGCGCGCACGTCCTAACCATCATGGCCGAGATCGCGTCCGGCCTGCACCCGGCGCAGATCAGCCAGCTCACCGCGCCCAACAAGGTCCTCGTCTCCATGGGCATGTACCAGATCACGGGCCAGGATTTCCTGGCCGCCCAGCGCCTCCGCCACTGCCTCATGGCCCACCTGGCCCACCTGTTCCGGCAGCATCCCGGCTTGATCATCTGCTCGCCCACCACCCCGATCCCCGGGTGGAGGATCCACGGCCCCGCGGATCTGACGCGCGGCCTGTCCGATGGCGCCGCCTCCGTCCGGAATATGGAGTATGTCTGGCTGGCGAACTTCACGGGGTGTCCGGCCATTTCGTGTCCTGTTGGGTGGGTGGATGCTGAGGGTGGTGGTGGAGAAGGAGGAGGAAAGGTCCCGGTCGGGTTGATGGCAATGGCGGAGTGGGGGAAGGAGGAGGAGCTAATTGCGTTTGCGAGGGAGCTGGAGGGGGCGTTGGAGGCTGCTGATGGGGAAGGAAAAGGAGGAGGGATCAAAACCCCTAGTGGGGAGGGGGCGTTGTGGGAGGATATTATCGAGTTGGCCAAAAAGGCAAGTTCCGATTGATACCGGACAAAAAAAAAAAAAAACCATGACATGACATGTGGATGAATTGTCAAACAAAAAGCCTTGGCTGTGCGATCTTTTGTGGTTTGTAATTATGCGGAGGGTTCTGCAGGTCAAAGGGACTACGTTTCGGTGCTGATAATACCTCATGTGAGAAGGCGAGTATGTAATAACGGCCTTGAGCCCGTGTAGGGCAATTAAAACTGATGTACTTGGAATACACTGCGTGAGAGAAAACAACCATGGAATAACAATAGCTGCCAGCAGCGATGGGACGGAGAATGCAGAGGGTAGACATTCAACGAAACGCGTAGACCACGAGTAAAGTAACGTCTTAGCAAATGTGGGTATTCAGAGAACTCTATGCAGTATTAAGGATAAAACAACGCAGGCTAAATGCCTCTATTCTCGGGGCAGCTGAATCGACAGCTCGATCAGCCTCAGAAGCACACCATTCATCATACTGCCTGCTGACCAGACATCTAGACATAACCCCATGTAAGGCAAAAATGACCATACAACCAAACTAGATGAAGATGCTCTCCCCCCGGTCAGGAACACGGAATTCACACCCCAGCCCGGCCGATTTCCCCTGAGCTTGGAGTTCATGAAGAATGCGTTCCGCTGCAGGGGGGCCGTCGGTCAGATGATCCTTGATATGGATAACATAGACCCTCAATCCAGCCAGGGGCGGCTCCGGCCAGGTGTGTGTTGTGAGAGGATCAGAACTCTCGGCGAGTTGCGTATTGATCCCAACATCAGTCGCGGGTTGCGAGACAGCTGGGCTTCCTCCTTCTAGCTTCTCATCGGGCTCCTCGAACGATGCCTTGGCACGGGTGTGGCGACGGGTGCTTCGATTGGATCCTCGACGACTCGAAGATTGGCCCTTCTCTCCCGTGAGAGCCAACCTCTTCGATTTGGGGCTAAGGGGTACATCTGTGCCCACATCGGGAGCGGAGGCACGTTTGCGTTTCTTGGTTGCATTGGAATCCGGGAATTTGATCTCCCTAACAATGCTCGCAAGCGCAGTCAACTCGGTGATTAGATGTCGTGGACAAAGATGTCCGTAGAGATAGTCGTCCTCAACGTCATCGTTGTAAGAACACTCGATAAAGATCGCGCGCAGCTGCCCACTAGCGATCTTCGGTGCCGCCACTTCCCAGACGCGCTTGTTGCGCGGGTTCCGGGAGATCGAGTCAGGTTCAACATCACCAAAAAACATCACTTCTCGTTTTGCAACCGGACAGCGTATGAAGAAGACAGAGCTTTCGACTGTGGTCCATTTTTCTTTCCCAGGGCCCCGAAGACCAGTCGAGTCCACGGGAGAATAGTACCTGACTTCAAGTTAGCACCACTCGATGCGCGAACCAGTGAAAGTCTACATCTAAGCTTACCCCGTGTCTAGCTCATCTGTAGAAAATGAAAAGCCCCCAGGACTGATCTTCATCGGACCCGGGCCATAGGCTGCGCTGCTCAGCCGATGGTGGACGTCGTTCTCGGTAGGAGGATGCAGTCTGCAGCTTCCATGGCTAACACCAAAGCATTTCGCCACCAATCCCTCGCATACTCGTTTGTATCCCCTCTCATCACCAATTCCCAGCATCGGTTCGCCTCCCTCGCGTAGGCGCTGATAAGTAACCAGTCCAGCGCCCCCCTCCTCATCTGACAAATTAGGCCAGATCACATCATTGAAGACGTGGGTCTTGATGGCAGTGACCACGGATGGCAGAGCAGCAATTGTTTTCGCGCCATTTCCAGCTTCCAAGGCTGGCGTATTGATTGCAAACGCTGATAGATGGTCCAGGTGGGGATGTGTGATCAGAATGGCACCGATAACGTGGCGGAAGAAATGTGCTGCGTTCGCAGGAGCATTGTTAAAAGGCAGCTCGAGGCCGCTGAATGGCCCGCCATCCAGGACAGCTTGTTGGTTGTCGAATTGCTCGAGAATGTTGATGACTCCGCAGAGAAGGGTCCCTGCGTCCACTGCGATTACCGAGTTTGCTGACCATCTACTCGACGTCGAGCGAACCAGTAAGCCTGTGACCCGATCTTCGCGTGGACCTCCCGTTGGGCCCTTTCATTCAAGTGTTAGTCACGAATACTTGCATGCAGGCGACGCCCCATGGAACTTCAGAAAGAATCTACACCGTGAGAGCTGCACAGATGCAGCGAAAGGGTGCCAAGACGCATAGTGAGGTGGAGCAAGCCGGCATGTCTCAGCACAACATATCAAACTGGAGAACAAGCCATATAGATCGATTGGGAGGAACAGGGTATGAGACATACAAACACAAGTCGCGGCTAACTTACCAAGACAACTACTTGCAAACCCGAGGTTCCTCCTTCTTCACTGCCCTTGGAAGGCGTTTCTTCACCATCGCGTTCCCCAACTTGCTGCATGTTCCGAGCCATATCTGATGGGATCATGTAAGCATAGAAAAGCAACGAAGGAATAGTGTAGCACGTAAGGCAGGCTTTCGACTCACACTTCTCCAGTTTCTATTTGACTGGTTTCTTCCCCCCCTCTCCAAATGCCCAGACTTCTGCACGGAAATACGCCCTAATGGGAGCTATGACGCTGGTGGTTGCGGCCTACGCGTTAGTCTCTGCTGGGGTCAAATCTACGCCCAAAGCGTGCTCTGACAATTCAAAATATATCTTTGCCTGTAGAGCTTCAACGAAATTAAGTTAGATCCAGTGAGGAGCGCGTGATGTGACCGTAGACTCTCCGCGACGGAGCGGCTGGTCGCAGAATGGTTGGTTACGGGACAAGAAGCGCTGCCCTTCTTGATTTGACCGTCCGGCGGTTGTCGCGAGCAGGTCAGAGGTTCCTTACTCGAAGCTGTGTCACCAGGACAAGAAAATGGAGGAAAGAAATGGTAGACCCAACTGGTTGTCCTCCTCCAGTTGAAGTGACAGCCAGCAAGAGATTTGAAAGGGTCCCGGCGGTGCTACCCCACGAATCCGGGGCACAGCTCTGTCACACCCAGCAATGTACAATGCAGTTAGTTGAGCGCACCCCAATGGCTAGGAGCAAGACGCTAATGCGCACCCTAAGGGCCCCAATGATTTGGTGGCTGACAGGTGCGCGGAGGAGCGTTGGCGATTAAAAAGCCTTGTAAAGTAGTGCCTTGGCAGTCGGGCACTGTATCAGGGAGGCCGCCGGGGGACGGAGACACGAGAGTAGCAGAAGTAGAGTTGCGATACATGCGTTTGATAGGTCGATCACTTATTAGATATCGAGTGGGGGTATCTTCGGGGTCGGATGGTGAATTAAGAGAGGAAGAGACGAGGGCCTGTGGGGAGGGGGATTTACGGATCGAGCACCCGATGACGCCGACGATAACTGAGCAGCTGGACGAGGAGTTCGCAATGCGCCCCTCGGTTGGAGGGCGAACTTGGACCAGTGATTGCCCTCTCGTGTCAAGAGAAGCGACGCGATCAAAAGTTTAAGAGCTTAGCAGAAAGAAAAGGTAGTAGGAAGCATAGGGTTGTTGGGGGAGACAAGTTGGGGTAAAGGAAAAAGAACGTAGGTACAGGCTGGCTGGTGGGCAATGACGTGAGAGGATAAGTTGGTAGTATGAGTAGGTTAGCCTCCGCTGCTCTTCTTTTCTTTCACACGCTATGAAACACAGCGGAAGGAAAGGTCGACCCAACAGATATAACAATCTGGAAAGAAGAAAGACAACAGCCTCAAACTCAAAGGAGAGGGGAAAGAAAGGGGAAAGGGAAAAAGGAAAAAGGAATAAGAAAGAGAAGAAGAGAGTTCTGAGTGAGGAAGAGTGATGTCCAGGCGGAGTAGTTACGGAGGACTTCGATTCTAGACTCCATTAGTTTAAACCCACGAACCACTCGCCCACTGTCCACAATATCCTCCTGATCTCCCTCGCTACCGTATCTCCCTCGGTCAATTGATTTACCCCACGTTGCTCATACACTTTGTTGATTCAATTCTCACCGTGTCATTGACGTGACACGTCTGACCATTGAGGTGAACCTCCTTGCAGCGAGGATTCGACACTATCAAACTAAGCGGCTGGCGCATGCTTTTCCACTCTCAACAATCTCAATCCGGCCTGCACCTCGTCCCGAACATCATGGATATTATTCGCAAGTGAAGCTCTGATCGAGCTGTGGACCAGAAGCCAGTAGGCTTCCCGATAGCATGTGATGTGGCTAATGGCTTCAATATTTATGATCCATCCAAGCGCTTAGGTCGTTTGCTACGAAGAACCCACGTGCGAGATTAGAAACCCCGGCGACAGGCTAAGGCATGCCTCTTAAAAGAGCATTCCTGTGCTCGAGAATAGCAGCAGGTGAATGATAAATTTTTGTACTGTTCAGACACCAGTAAAAAAAAAAAAAGAAGATAAACTTGGGGATATCATCATCGACACTGTCGCTTTGGACACGCTGAAGTCCGAGTGGAAAAGAGGTCGTCGTACGCCGCGCAGAAACGGAAGTCGCAGCTTTGCGCCTGAGAGTCCGTCAGACATGATGACTCCCAAAGCCAAATCGCAAACGAACCACACTGTGACCGGACCGTATATACGCAAAGAAAATCAAGAACATCGTTGCCACATCTAGCGGCGAACCCATGAAACCCAGCCTGAAGAACAGTTTCGCCTTGACAAAAAAAAAAAAAAAAAAAGAAAGAAAAAAAAAACGCCAGCCGTGGCCGCTAAAAATAGATGAACAGAATGAATATACCGACAGATTCAATGGCTACCACACCCTATACACACCCAGAACATATCGACGAACATCACGGAACAAAAGGAAGAGCACCCTCAACGACTTTCATCCGTGTAGGGACCATGATCGTTACGGTTGCCGACCGCAGCATCGTAGCTTGGTATCGGAGGCTGATCCTCGAAAGGGATATCATCGCTACCCCTTCGGCTGCCATCTGGGCTCGAGTACTCCGGAGGTGGAACCTGATCGAGATCGTCCGTGTTTAACAAAGGTGCCTGCTCAGTGTCTCCAGCATTGGTACGACTTGAGCCTTCACCCACATCTTCGTGGGAGGGTATGTGAGCGAGTTGGGCGAGAGAAATATCGGTCGGAGAACGCACGGGACCCGGGCTGACGGATGGACCGAACCTGAGGGTAGAGCTTGTTCGTGCATTATTGGCATCTTGGTATACTCGCTGTGAGATCTGCGCAGCACTTTCTCGACCAGATTCGAGAAGGATACTGCCCTGTTCGCTCCCATAAGGAGGCGGCGGCGCCAGGCTGCCGGTCATCGGAGCTAGACCCCATTTCTTGACATTCGCTTCAATGAAAACGAAGCCCATCTGGCCGAAATTCACATGCACGGTGCAGGGTCCGTTGGCCCCGACTGTCGGGAAAAAGTTTTGGGACTTTTGTCCGTGCGCCACATCTTCCAGCTTCTTGCCGTTGCGAGTGAAGAAGATCGTGCCGGAGCGCGGTCGATACCCAACACCAATAACGTCGCCTTGGAGAAGCGGGGGACCATAAGGCGTTGATGCGAACGGTTGGTTGTATCTCCTGTGACCTGTTGACTGATATGCGACCGAGGATTTGTGATACCCTGTCAGGCAGGTAGTGCATTAGCAGGGTGAATCACCCATTTGTGACCCTGGGGACGTACCTGGTAATTTGAACAAAGGGTACGGTTTCGTGGTCATGCCAATGCTGATGAGGGTGTTCTCCGGCTTATCATAGATCTTAGCCTCCCAGTAATATACGTCATTCTGTTTCGGAACCGGCAGGTTGGTCTGGACACTGCATTCTGAATCATAGAACTCAATCTCAGTCCTACCCTCGACGAAGCAGTTGGCGATCTCTAGTTCGGGTTGAAACTCCCAGGCCGACACTCCTTTTTCTTGGATCGCGAGGAACTGAGACAGCGAGATGTCGGTTTGCATAGACTCGGGTGGGTTGGCCTCGATAAACGCTACCCAGCAAATTAGCATGCCACGAACGCGCGCGAGACAGTCTACGGGTTTTGCGACTGGCGGCGACCGCATCGAGGGACGGAGAAGAGTAAACTCACCTTTTGCTCGCAAGTATTCCGACCGCGACAAATCGTCCATGGTTTCCAGAGCCTCCGCTTCCTCGCGCAAGAACGCCTGTTCATCGTCGAACTCACCGGGTCGGCCGATGCGATCGAGGATGATCCTACCGCGCTGAGTGTACTTGAAGAAAAAGAAGACTGCGAGAACAAGGACTGCAACGGCTGCTGAGCCAAAAGCGGACAAGACGCCAATCAGAATGCCCTTCCCGGTCGAACCGGAGGAGTTGCCACTGGTGCCGACCAGACCGCTATTGTCTTGGGGCATTGCCAACAGAACTCGATCATGATCCAAATTTGAGGCAGTTAGGTGAGGATCAGTCGGCGGATGGGCAATGGTGGCTGGAAAGTGGTTGACTAAAGTCGAAGGCATATTATAGCCAGCGGCAGCCGCTGCCTCATATGCCCGCATCGTTCATTGACTGGCTCGATGTCTCAGGCTGGCCGATTATACGACGGTGAGAAGGGTCGGGGTTGGACCAGGATTCAGCCAAACGAACGGTGACGTGGAAACGCCAGAAGATAAATAATATCACAATGAGGGACGGGGTGAGGTGAATGACAGAGGGGCAGGGAGAGGAGATTAGATTATGAGATAAGGAAGCCTGAAATTTCAACAAGAAAGCAGGCGGAAGAGTAGGAAGAGAGAGTGAAAGTTGAGTGAGAGCCAAAGTGAGAGCCCGAGAGGCGCATGTGGGGGGGCAAAAGGCAGCGACGCTTCCGGGCGATGCGTCCGGATGACGGCGTATCAAGCCACTTTTTTTATCAGCAACCATTCCAGGCCCTCGCTAAGGGTCTAAGAGAGAGGGAGTGCGGTGTTTGTTGGCTGACTGACAGGTTGGCTGGCTGGTTGGCTGAATGTTCCATTTAACCAACATTTTAGACAATTCAACCCCTCGTTCCTGGAGCATTTTTTAACTTGCACATTATGGAGTATTTGCCTGTTCTCTCTCTCCCTCCGATGCAAGGCCGCGACCACAAAGGGAAAAATGATGATGACATCCCCATCATGGATCGTTATCGCTGGTACGACACTGGTAAGATACGGCACAGATACGGGACCGCCCGCAGTCACTCTACCCCATTGCGGGTAGAGATCGTGTATCGGCTCCGTCTGGCGCGTATGACTCCCTCCTTCAGGGGACCCGCGTTCCAAAACACAATCAAATGCCAGGCGCTTATCTCCACGCTTGTTCATCTCACCTCCTTGGTCACCCTCTCCTCCTCCTTCTTCCTCCTGCGTGAAATCCTCCTACCTCCGGGCCATCCCCTCCTACTCTTGACACATTGATCTTAGTCCTCACATCTTACTTTAGCGCCTGCATTCTCTCAAGCAATGCGTGTCTCAGCTCATCCGGATCTTGTCTCCGATCTGAAGGTCTGCAATGTTCGCTGGTCCGTCAAGGGCCATGAATTCGATAAATACCCAGGTATGCTTGCATTTCAATTGCCGGTTTGCTCTGCCCCTCCATTCCTTCTATAGAAACACTTGGTTGGTTCCTTTGTTCAACGCTGACAGACAGTTTGCACAGCCAAGCAGCATGCGCGCAGGGTCGCGATAAAACTGGGGGTCTCGAGCGGCCTTATCTATCTTGCCGGCACACCAACAATCAATTGGGGAGATTCGGATCAACCGCAGACCTTCCGACAAAGACGCTACTTCTACTATCTCAGTGGCGTGGATGAACCCGATTGCTTTCTGACCTACGATATCAAGAAAGACTTGTTGGTTCTCTATGTTCCCGACTTCGATCTGCATCGGGCGATCTGGATGGGGCCCACGCTGACCGTTGACGAGGCTCAACGGCGGTTTGATGTAGACCGAGTTCGCTACCATACCTCTCTAGACAAAGATATCACGTACTGGGCCCAAGAGTACAACGACACCGCGCCAGTGTATGTTCTTCATACGTCTCAGCAACCCGAAGCACCAGCCACCAAGCTTCGGATAGACGATGAGCGCCTGCTTCCTGCAATGGATGCGGCTCGAGTCATTAAAGATGGCCATGAGATCCAACTAATTCGCCAGGCAAACATCATTTCCGGCCTGGCTCACCGGAAGGTGCTGGAGAAGATCCACAAGATGACCAACGAAACACAGATCGAAGGACTATTTCTGGCCACATGTGTGTCGCACGGCGCGAAGAACCAAGCGTACGAGATCATTGCTGGCTCGGGTCCCAACGCCGCCACCCTTCACTACATCAAAAACAATGAGCCCCTGAAAGGTCGACAGCTGGTCTGTTTAGATGCGGGGGCGGAATGGGAGTGCTATGCGAGCGATGTCACTCGGACGTTCCCCCTGGGCGCGGAGTGGCCCAGTGAGTATGCTCGCGACGTTTATCAAATTGTAGAGGAGATGCAAGAGGAATGTATCAGGCGCATCAAACAGGGGGTACGATTTCGAGACTTGCAGCTCCTGGCACACAACATTGCCATTCAAGGGTTACAAGCACTGGGCGTACTCAAGCCTGGACCTGTAGAGGAGATCCGGGAGTCAGGGGCGTCGGCGATTTTCTTCCCTCACGGGCTGGGACACCACGTAGGACTGGAAGTCCACGACGTCTCGGAGAGGCCAATCACGGCCCAGGGCCAGCGGGGAAGACGCGACCTGGTGCCGCCCACTAGCCTTTCGTTTCCAGTGTTAGAGGAAGGCATGGTGGTGACGATCGAGCCCGGCATCTACTTCTCTCAATTGGCGCTGGCCAATGCTCAGAAGCAACCGCTCGCCCGACACATCAACTTCGTCGAAGCGGTGAAGTACATCCCCGTCGGTGGAGTGCGGATCGAGGACGATATCCTAGTGACGAGGACGGGATACGAGAATCTGACGACAGCGCCAAAGGGGAAGGAAATGCTGGAGATCATCCGTCGCGGGATCGACAACGGCCGGGGGAGCCATCAGTCAGTTTTATCTTGACTGCTTTCTCCTCAGTAGACTACCGGTACATGAGTAGACAGCTTTTTATCCCGGGTTGCTTGGCGAAATCCAGCCGTGTTTCACAGTCCCTTCGACTGTCTAGACCTTCTAGCGTGTGTGGACCGTCATTGATTCGGCCAGAGATATCATCATGGATGGAGGCGGAATGTGAGTGGTGCCTCAAAGACTCTGTGGGCTTCTTTCTTCCTGTGACTATCATAACCTTACTTTTCAGGCTCAACAATCCTTGAAACCAAACCTGTAATCTTTACAACAGGCACCTCACTCGGCGTATCCCAGAGATCGAACCCCTCAAATTATACTCCGCACAGTACTTGTCGTAGTTGATGGGATATGCACTGTACCTACCCCGTAGTATGACCGAAATCTCTTCAGCGACAGCGTTAGGACCAGTGAGTGACACAAGAAATCCCCTGATGCGTGCCGGTAAGTTAGCTCAGTCACTCTAGTCTATGGAGTCAAATCAACAATGAATTGATGATCCCACTGCTTGATCCCACAGCAAACCCACCCTGGCGGAGAACGACCCAGTCAGTCACTCCGTCCATGGGCCCCTGGTCAATTGATTACAATCTAGACCGAAACCTGCAACGCCGCGAATAACCATGCCCCCCCTTCTCTTTTCCGGGCTCCGGGCACCCAAAACCCGAGGACTCCAGACAGCACTAGAGCCTTCACGATCTTTCCGAGCCCGCTTTCCGTCTCCACACCACAACAAGTCCAGTCCAGGCACAAACGCACACGATTCGAGTATGTACGTAGTCTACCTTGCGAGACTGGACACACTGTACTACGAAAAAAAAAAAAAAAAAAAAAAAAAAAAATCCCGCTCCCCATGTCTCAACGGTGGGATTGCAAGCTGCAGCTGGGTCAGCTAGCTAGCTAGCTACTACGTAGCTGCCCCCAAGGGAAAAAGGGGGTTAGAATCTTAGCAGCCGTACTACACATACGTACTGGTATGATCCGATCTGGGCTACTTGCTTCGTTGATTGCTGAAAGGTTGGACGAAATGACGGGTTACACCACCAGTAACAATTCAGACTATTGGCAGGGTAGGAGGGTTTGGCGAGGTGGTACCGCATCCGTTGAGATACGTCATATATAACCTTCGTTTTCTTTCGAGGGAGATATTGTTTCAAGGTTATCTGTCTGGAGGAATGGAAAAGCTATGAGCCCTCTGGGGCTTGATGCGATGACCACAAAGCATGAGTCGCCACAACTCGAGAAGAACAGGACGAGACGGAGCAAACTCCCCATCGTTTGCCTTGGGTGTATGATTACAGCGTGGCAGCAAACTTGGGAGAACGCAATATAATTGACCCCATGCTCATACCATAAACAAGATTATGACCAGGATTTGCACGAACGCACGGTAAGTTACCGGTAGCTTCAGGCATTGCATAAAGCAGAGTAGAACACGAACAACAAAACAAAATGGATAAAAAGTGGAAATCAGACAACTCACATTCCCCCAATCATATACATACCGTACACTCCTTCCGTAGTCCATGTGGGAATTTCTGTAGGGCTATCTAAGAAAGGGTTCTTCTCGGCCACGAACGGTTGAACATGTGTAATGGTGGCATTTGGCCACGACACAACAGATTTTTTTCCTTCCCCCCCTTTTCAATGCTTGCTTTTCTCGGAAAGGCACTCCGTAAGTAGTGTTTACGCTCCGGTCGTCCTACGTGGTGTCGACTTCATGGGTCGAGTGGGTTTTCGAACTGAAAACATGTGGAATAGGCGAGGGGAGTAAGTTATGGATTAGTAGGCTACATCATTATGGTATATATCTTTTTTTTCGGGTGCCTGCACGTTGTGAATCGCTGATTGAGACGAGCCAGGGAGGCGTCTGCGGTCTGCATGCTTGCTGCAGATGGAGTAACTTCGATTAGTTAACTGAATTATGCCCCAGCCTGCTAATTGAGCAGACCAGAAAGTAAAGTGGTTGCGTGCAGAGGTGAGTGGCATGAATGGTGGTGAGCTGGCCATGATGGCTTGCAGGGGTTGAGTTGCCAGAGGCATTTTCATAGTACTATGCGTAGGGAGAAAGTGGAGAGAGGATCAAAGTAACTACAGATACATTGCCCAGAGTTAAATCACTTACCTAGCACTTTTTGCATAATGAGAACATCACGGTACTACTGGTGAGTTATATGTACAAGAGTTCATACAATACTCGCTTGCGCCAAGGTAGCACGTTCAATAAGCACAGTACATACATATGAATACAGTACATGCTGCATATCTAATTCTGCTGGCGCGAGCACATCAGACTAGCGAAGCAGAACTGCGTTCAGCACACTCCAAACCGACCATTTCAACCCAAGCCCAGCGTAACCCACACGGTTACTATAAGAGTCTTACCCGCCCGCGGCCCCCCCAATTGCACAATGGAGAAGCTACATTGGGCAATAATCGCCTCAAAAACTATAGAGGACTGAGTCTTCTCCAACTCCGACAACGGTGATGAGATTCCAACTCACGGGTATCCACAAAGGCAACCCAAGCGCCGTCGATCCCGAAACAAACAAAGGATCTAAGGGCCTTATGCGCTCTAAGGCTCTCGGCGGCTTTTTGGCAACCCACAAATCGACATCCTAGACAACACCTCGTACTATGAAACGGGGAAAGTAGGGATGCCTAGTGCCTACAGCGCCTAAATTACTAAGTGCATAGTACGAACAAAGGGCGCGGACGCGGACTCAGGACAGTAAGCCCCGAGCCCGATATCGCCCGTAGTCTCGATGCATGCCGAACCTGCCGTGGTTGGATGTTGTCACTCCTGACCCGAGTGAGTCCTGAGGGCAGAGGGCCTGACAATTTGAGCAATTTTGCACCATGCGTCACACAAAATCTCATCACCCGCTCGGTCCGTTACGGCATCATTTCGACTCGATTGCCACCGGATTTAGCTGGGGCTCTGGGGGGTTAGGGCACCGGGAGCGCGTACGGTATTGTCAGAGCCTCAATAATAGAGAGTCAGACTCCCAGACAAAACGAGCGAGAGAAAGCCTGGTTTCTTTTTCCCTGCCCTGGTCCGGATCCGAAATGCGTGAGGATCCCGCCTGCATGGTGTCAGACCACTCTTCCATTGGCCTACTTACGCTTTGTGTTTATTTTTGTTGCGTTTATTTCCTCTGGGTTGCTACCGTGTCTCCTGATTGCCTGGTTTCAAGGTTGCCTTTATACAGTAATTACTACAAACAGGATATCCTTTCATGGCCCGGGGAGTTGTGGTTCTCTTTGACATGGCTGGGGTGACTCCCTTTCAATTGGGTAGAGGTATTCGAGTTTTTCAGGTCTGTCAGGCAGTAAAGTCAAGTCAGGCCGAAGATGAAGTGGGAAAAATTCAGTCTTTGTTGAAAACTCAAAGAAGAAGATCAAAATCAATTAGTTTAGCTCATCAAAATCACAAAATCACGAAATAATAGTTGCCTTGGCCTAAGACCTCAGATGGGGACCTGGTGAGGTGACTCAGGAGTTCAAAGAGAGGAAAAATTGGTAACAATGAGCCCTAACTCTGCGGAGTCAACCCTTGGATCCTCCGCAAAAAGGGAGCCACCAGAACTACGCAATCCAGGGTGAACATTAGATCAAATTTCACCATTCCTAGCATTCTAGACTTTGGCAATCACGCCTACATCAGTGTGGAGTTGTTTGACTAGGGGGCAGAAGGCATTGTGGGTCCCGAAGCCGGATGTGAAGATTTTCTTTGCCTGGTTAGGTTTTTTTTGTTTTTTTTTTTTTTTTTACTTTTTTTTTTTTTTGCTCATTAGCTGTACCTCTGTAACCTTAAGTGTTTAGTGAGTCACACCACCGCCCAACACCCCTTCGGCAAAGCCAGCCGGAGTCATACTACTACTAGAAGTATATATACAGTAGCTCCGCAACCTTCGATCTCCTGATCTCCCCCCCTCTCTTCCTTCCTCACCTCATCTCATCCTTCCCAGGGATGATGGTCACTCCTTTCCTTACCGTTTGATAAATCAGAAACTATTCCGGAAACAGTTCTCTACTGTTTTGTGGTGGGTGGTTGCTTGTCTATTTAAACCTCCCCGGCTTGATCTTCGCGAACCGCAAAACGATAGAAAACTTTCAACACGATCAACCTCCTCCAACTGCAAAAAAAGCAAATAGGCGAATTGTTAGAGAATGGGCCAGAGGCACAACCGGCGTCGCACCCGTCCGCGCTCTCGAAACCGCAGCAGCAGCATCACCAACAACAACAACAATAATCACCCCAACCTTATCGAAGCTTTCTCCCGACCTCTCAATCCAGTCCTACCTTCGGCGGCCTTCGACTACCATGAAACCCCCGCCCCAACCTGGCACTATGGGGATCTCACATGGCAGACTCGACATCGCACGATGAGGCTGGAAACTCCCAACATAGAGGCAGAGCAGTGTCGACTTTTTGGTGGTGAACCCGGTGACGATGTGGGCCTTTGCTATCGGATGATGGAGTATTTCGGTGGACTTGATTACATCGACTGGTGAGTTGTCTGTCTTTCTGTGAAGTTTACAATCCATCAATCGACCATCGAAGCTGACTCGTTTGTTCTTAGTCCCCAGTCTCTGAACGCACTACCTGGATGACGCGCATAAACATCTGGAAATCGTCGGCCCTTTTGCAAATTCAACAATCTAAAAGTGTCAATCAGACGGTGGAAAAGCGAAAAGAAAAGAATGAAAAAGAATTTCCCAACGGGCATTTCCAACATGGCAAGGATCTTGAAAACAAATTCAAATTGTTTCCATCCTCTGCAGCCACTACAACTCGACGACATCAGCAGGACGGAAGCCAAACGGCAATCCCACCAGCCTCCCGAGAGGACTCGAGAAGCCAGATTTCACTGGGTACTATCCAGGCCAATGACTTGCAGCAATGAAGGATCAGACTCCCCGAAGAGGGGGGTTTCTGTCTGGATTGGTCTTCTGAACGGCCTGGCCATCTGAAATTTGGTCTGGAGATAATTTCCTCGCAAGACTTGGTGACGTCGAGAGCAGCGGTGTCTTCTAGCGACCGGGCCCTACCGGGTTTGTGGATGGGTCGAGTTCGCGTCTCGGTTCAGTTCGTCTGGATTGTGACGCTTGAGTTCCCTACTTCGCAAGCTTGACTTGGTGCTGGCGTGGAGGTCATCCCTGCACCTCCGTCTACACAGTATTTGCGAGGGTATCTCCCATTCTCACGCCTTTTCTCCTCAGTGCTGGGGCCCCTGATGCTCGATATACAAATGAGGACATGACAGCTGGACAAAAGTGTTTTGAGCTGGCGTTTAAAAACAGATGTTTCATCTAAAAATTGGGATCGAAAAGGGTTATCAGTCTTTTTTATGATGAAATGAAGCTCAGACATGAATGCTTGTTGTATGTATGGCCTGTTTATTTCAGGTCCGGAGATCTGAGATTATCGACTCCGTGGTAGATAGAATTACTTGTTAGATGTACACGATGGGCCTCCAGAGGTGCTGTGCAGTACAATATAAATTGGAATCTTGTGATCAACGCTTTCCATCAGCTACTCCGTAAATGGCTTGAATTGACTGAAAAGTAGGAAAAGTAGAAGAAATAACCTAAAATGAGGCTTGACCCTGAATGCCGAAAGTGGTAGGCGGTGGGCTCCGCCGCCGCCTTGGAAAGGACACGGTCGATCACAAGGCACGACCGACGCCGATACGATAATTAATCATTCGGGACATGCTCCGTCGTAATCTTCTTCTTCCTCTTTCACCACACGACACTCCTTTACCGTTGACTGGTAGGGAGATCATGATCCCCAGCTCAACGACTTAATCTGTGCTACTTCCACTCACCTTCCCCCCCTTATCAGACATAATTCCAACTCCCTGTCACTTATTTTGAGCCCAGGAGCAGCTGCACTCTTTTGTCCCTCGTCCTGCCCGCTGCGGGCGACCGTGTCCATTGTAAATTTACTACACCATGTCGACAGACTACAACTATGACGACAAGGTATGACACCCACGGGCTCGTGGGCTGGAAGCGAAGCTGACAGGTATCGCCAGGGACAATTCTTCCCCTTCTTCGTCCTCACCCTGACGAGTCTCGTCACTCTTCCTCTGACGTACAATCTCCTCCGGCCGAGCAAGGGTGAGTGCTGGACCATAACATAGCCTCTATGGTGCAGTTTGGGATTACCCGAAACTTATGATTGATTATTTGGTGTAGGACTGGAGAACACCGCACCGCGGATAAAATCAGACTTCAAGCCCGAACATGGCGACCTCATTGACGCGCAGAAGCGCAAGCGCTTGCGCAAGGAACGTCGGATCAAGCGCATTGTCACCGTCGTGGTGGGCTACGCTGTCATGGCTTGGATGGCATATTTGATCGTCGTCACAGCACGGACAGTACCCAAGATCTGGGATCCGTATGATATTCTTGGTATCTCACGGGTGAGTCACTCGTCAACGGAGTATCCCTACGGATGATGCTAACCGGCGTTGTTTGTCTCTTACTAGAGCGCCGATGAGAAAGCGATCTCCAGACACTACAAGCGCCTTTCACTCGTCTACCATCCCGACAAGATCCGCCCCGATCCCGCCAAGAATGAGACCATCGAGATGCTCAACGAGCGCTTCGTCGAGCTCACCAAGGCCTACAAGGCATTGACCGACGAGGAGGTTCGCAACAACTACATTCAGTACGGCCACCCAGACGGCAAGCAGAGCATGAGCATCGGTATTGCTCTCCCCACGTTCATTGTCTCGGAAGGCTACTCCAAGTACACCCTGCTGGTCTACGGTGCTCTGCTTGGCGTTCTTCTCCCATACATCGTCGGCCGCTGGTGGTACGGCTCTCAGCGTTACACCAAGGAGCGCGTTCTCGTCGCAAGTGCTGGCAATATCTTCCGGGAATATAGAGACGACATTACTGATGGCGGAATCATCAACGCGCTGTCCTCGGGCGATGAGTTTAAGGAGATGTTGCAAGGACCCCGGTCCGATGCTGGATTGGCGAAGCTTGAGAAGAGAGTCTTGGCGGAAGATTCCTCGTATCTGACTCCCGAAGACCGCGCGGTCATCAGGGGACTCGATGATTCGAGCAGACGGAAGGCGCTGGCGTTACTCTGGGCCTATCTCGGTCGCGTTAATCTGGAAGACGCCACGCTCAACGGAGGTAGGTCGGAACTTTTCTTTACCGTGCTACATGCAATTTACAACCTACTGACCCCAACTCAGAAAAATACGAAGCCGCCCCCATCGCCCTTTCACTGAACGAAGCCTTCACGGCCATCGCCCTCGCCTTTGGTAATCTCCGACCAATCCTCGGATCCTTCCGCACCGCACAGCACCTCATCCAAGCCGTCGCACCTGGCTCCTCTCCGCTCCTCCAGTTGCCGCACTTCACGCCAGAACTCGTGCAGACCATCGAAGGCGTCGACAGCAAGGAACACTTCACTGTGCAAAAGTTCATGTCCATCCCGGAAGCCGAGCGCTACAGCCTCACCGTGGGCGCCGGCCTCCTGAATGAGAAGCAATACACGACTGCCATCAACGTTGCCAAGCAGCTCCCCGTTCTCGATGTGTCTCGGGCCTTCTTCAAGGTGATGGGCGAGAAGGTCATTACGCCGAGCAGTTTGGTGCAACTCGTCGTCAAAGCGCGCTTCATCCCCCCGGGTTCCGCCAACGTCCCCGCCCCTGCCCCCGCCGACCTCGAGGACATCGATCCGGACGAGGACGACCTCGACGCCATCATGGGCCGCAACGGCAAGAAGACCAAGGTCGTTAACGGCCAGAGGGTCGAAGAAGCTAAGTCCGAACCCGTGCAACCTCCGCTCGCGCACGCCCCCTACCTCGCCCGCGACCACTCCCCGCGCTGGCACATCTTCTTGGCCGACGCCAAACAGGGCAAGATGGCCGTGCCCCCCTTCACCTTCACCACCTTTGACAAGCCACTCTTCGACCCCGTCACCGGCCAGCCCACGTTCAACGTGCAGACCCTCAAGATGCAGTTCCAGGCTCCCCCCCAGGTCGGTGACTTCACGTTTGTGATGCATATGCTCTGCGATAGTTATTTGGGCCTCGACACCAAGCTGGAAATCACCCTGCACATCGACGATCCCGCCAAGGCCGCCGCGTTGGACGAGGAGGATGATATCAGTGAGCCCGATGAGGGTGAGTTCCCATCCACACATACGCCCCCCTTACACACATCACAAAAGACCATGAGAATCTAACAATTCCTATAACCATAGACTCGATAGCCGGCCAAATGCAAGCCCTGAAAACCGGCCAAGCCCCCAAGAAGAAGGCCAAGAAGCCCTCGGCGGAGTCCAGCGAGGACGAGGAGAGTGATACCGACGGTGATGCAGGCGATACCAGTGACACGAACACGGAGACGGATATCGATGATGATGATTGAAGGGAAACTTTTATTTTTGCATTAAAGGGAACATTACCGGGAAGGGCGGGGCAGGGGGTTATGTTTTCCCAGCCGTCTCAGGGAAACTAAGTTAAGCATATAAACCGAACCTATACGTGGACAGGAAGAAAAGAGAACAAGAAAGTTCCATATGATACCTTTAGCTTTTCTTTTCGTTTCGTTTCCTTTCTTTTTTTCTTTTCCTTAGTTTGATCTTGCTTCGGGAACGGATTTCCTGATCTCTTTTCCATTTTTCTTCTTAACCATTTTCAACTCGCGAGTAAAGAATATACCTAAGGTTTCGTTCATTATTGTTTGGGTCGATGTGTCTTGTTCTCGAGTGGCATTTGCCGGGCTTGGGTCGTTTTTGGATTCAACGCGGTATGGGCTGGGAAAGGAAGTTCGTACTTTGTGGGAATCCTTGGGGGCAATCGCCGAGTCATCAGCTAACTATTCTTTGCTACTTCGCGTGGGTAGAATCTGTGCCTGTTCGGCCTTCCAGGCTGACCTGACTACTGACCGACTGGTTGTAGTCTACTCAACGAGTCCTTGAAGATAGCGCATACGGATTCAAATGTTCTTGCACACATAAGTCGTTTTCTTCTTTCTTTTGCTTTCTTTATCTTTCCCCCCCCCGGGCGTCCTTCATTTCTGCCATTGCCCACTGAGCCCCGTACCGTACCTGTTTGTTTCCGTTCTTTCGTAGGTGACTTGTCGCTATAACTAGCAAAGCTCACAGTCTCGGGTTCCCCGGTAAGGGTAGATTTTTCCAAGAAATAAAAAAAAAAAATAAAAAGAAATCTAGAAAAGCAACGTTTGATCGAGATATCAAGGAGTTTCCGCACTGTTTTGAGCTTTTATAGCCAGGCTCAGCCTGCTTGAAACACCTGGCAATGGAATTTTGTGTTGGGTTCTTAGTCCTTGATCAGGCACATCAGGTGTGCGGTGCGGGAAGTAAAAGGCCTTGGGTAGTGTAGGCGAGGAGTAAACTCCTCCAGTGATTCTGTTCCATAAACGTGGAGTGTAGTAGAAAGGCCCCGTCAAGCTTGGTTGTAAGTCTCTAAAAAGAAAAGAAGCGTTCCTGTTGTAGTTAAGAGTATGTAGCCATCACATGTCGTAGAAATAACAGTTGCCTTTGGGTATGTGAACGTGATCATAAACACCATGCTAAAAACAAATTCTCCATGATAGGCAAAGCGACACAGTTGATGAGGAATAAATGATGGGCAGAGTGACTGTCACCCCGTCTCTGCGTAGTTACATGACGAGATGAAAGGTGTACTAGTACTAGTACAAGGGACAGGGATTTGACAGAGTATCCGGGCTCTATGATTATCCGCTATGCTAACCACAATGATATGACCAGCTGGTCGCAGGAGGTGGATAGATAGCGTGCTGTTCAGGGATTTGCAAGGCATAATCACTCATCAGGCTCACGGGCAACCCGGATCCAATTACAGGCTGTTGCTGCATCAAGCCGACCGGCAGCCCGGAGCTCTTGCTGGGATCTGCGCCAGATTCGGTATCAACATAGTAGTAACATGGCTGCTCATGAGCAGCCATTGATGGCCCAGTATCCGTGCACTTCAGTTCGCATGCAAGGGCCATAGGTTCCAAATGTGAGCAAGGGAAAGTCATAGTCTGATATCCTGTGTGTTGTTGATAGCTCTGATACGGCCCTGGGTGGATGTTCTGAACTGGCTGCATGTCCCATCTCCAAGGTTCGCTGCGTTTGGGCGAAGAGAGCACGGGACTACATTCACTTGGTGAAGGCTCAGGAGGGGTGGCAGGCTCGGGTGATGGATCTGTTGTGGCGCTACTATCAGTTGAGGTTGAAAGAAATCGTAAGTACTGAAGGTCTTCGGATTCTTCCTCGGGCTCGTCTGCATTCTCCTCGGCTTGCTTGATTAGACCTAAGCGGTCCAGGATAGCGTGCGTCAGAGGGTAACCGTCGGGCGCGTCCTGCAGTGGCTCCCCAGGGAAGTCCTCCTTGTTGACGCAAAGCTTATAAAGCCGCTGAAGTGCTTTCACTACCAGAGAGTGGTGCGACTCGAGCATTTCAACGAATCTAGAAATGTGCCAATCCACTAGTTAATCCTGGGATCCTTGATAGACATCAGATCAGTGCGGAAAAGAATCGAAACTGACCCTCGTGAGTATACTTTGGTTTGCGTAGCCTTCCTCTCCCGGAAGAGGCAGGGATGGTTATAGGCAGAACAACGGTTGCATGGCTGTTTCCCATCACACTAGTATCCCATGAGTATCACCGCAGACCGCACGCTCGTGCCATGGTTGAGAAAGATGCACACAGAATCCTAGGAACAACCAATGCTTCACAAACCTTGGTCTTCTTGACTCTGCAACGATCGCATGCCTTCAAGACATGCTTGCGCTTGACTCGAAAAACGCGCTGGTCATGCTTCTCGTCTGCCAACCCCGCGCGGGACTCAAGCTGTGTTAAGGTGGTCACCGCAGCAAGATTATACATGGCGTCTGGATAACCAGGAATGTAAGACTTGGGTCGCAAGCTAGGTTGACGAGACATATTTGCAACGGACAAGCCAGGAAAAGTTGAACCATGTACAGGGGAGTGAAATGCAATTGAACGCCCACCCAGGATAAGGTGGCAGGGAGGGGTCTGATATGATAACTTTGATCTGAGGTCTGACTAATCGAGAGCACGGCGTTCTCAGTCGGAGGAGGAAGGAGGAGGAGGAGGAGGAGGAGGAGGAGGAGGGGTAGTGGATGTCAGACTGCCGCTCGAGAGGAACAAGCAGGTGGGGAGTGCGAGGACCTGACAAGGGACAAGAGGCTGAGAGACATATCTATCAAATATTATTGATATCATGTCTTACCCCAGCGTAGCCCCGCGCACACATGTCGACATGACGACCCCGCCCGAATCGGACGTGTATCGCTAGGCTAGGACACTGAGGATGGTGACGTGGTGAAGCAGCTTGTCACGATATCAACCGGACCGGTCGCTCGACGTCCTTCAGGCCGTTGTGGCTGTGGTAGCCTAGCAGGTACACCAGGGAGTCCCCCGCAACCACGGGGGGATTTGGGGGGGGGGGTTTGCCCGTTTGGCTAGTTGATACAGGTGACCAGATAAAAAATTCGCTGGCGCGAGACACGCCAGTAGTCAGTAGTCAGTAGTCAAGTCAGTATTCACGCCTGGCGACGGTCCGAGCCGTCAGAGCTACCACGGGATGAATACGCATCGCTGCCACCGCACCGCTTGTCGGCACTAACCGGGTAAGACCCTGGTCATTTGGGCAGCGAAAGCCAGAGTAAGGTAAGCGCTCTAAGGCTCAACCTGACTCTCCCCCTTTCTCTCTCCCGTAATTCTCGTGGGAGCCTTCACGACCTTCTGGTGCCGGAGGAAACTCGTCCGTCCGCTGGCTTGAAGCCGCAAACGTGCAGCTTGCTCCGGTTTCCGTGGCTGTCATACATCATCTCCCTATTCTCCAAAATTTCGTTTTCTCCCAATCATAAAATAAACTCTAAAAGTGGTTACCGGTGAGTCGGCTCACGGCCAGACAATGCCGCTGTAGGATAGATGGGTTCAATCTGGCTAGGAGCCTTCAGCATCATCAGCTTATGCCTCATGAGCGACTATCGAATGCTCCCATAGTTGCCATTGATACACGGATGACCAGCGCCATCGCACACTCTGACTACTCTCGAGTCGTCGATGAGCGCGTGCCTCGCACTGGACTCAGCGTTACGCCAAGGTGACAAGCAGCTATCGACCCAATAGTATGGGCTGAGAATTGCTTTTTCGAGTTTCCGTAATTTTCGGCTGGAATTATTCTCTTTCCCGCGCCTGTCAGAATTACCAGCCTTCGTAAAATGCTCAGCTTGACGATGCATAGTGGTGATGATACGCAGAGGGCACCTCACTAGACCCCTTCGGATTCAGTCGCGGGAAAGTCGGTACCGTTGCACGCTCCCGGCATATGCTGCAAGCTGCTCATGTGTTCTAAGAGAGCTAACCGTCTTGAGCTTATAGTGCAGTGGTGCAGCTTGTCTAAACAAAGGCAGGGGCACCATTTCTAAATCCAACCCCTTCGGTATCTATGGGTAATGGGTGTCTCAATGCTGAGACCGGGTAGGGCCATTGCTGTTGTGTGAGAGCCAGACAGTAGCAATCACGGACAAACATAGAGCTCGCAGCGCATGTTTTCAGGTGATGTAATGTTGTGATGCTGACCAACAGCACCTGCGTGGGCCAACCGCAGCAATAGCATTGTTCGTCATCGAGGCTGCAAAGATTGATCGAGGGAGCGAGGGAGCATCGGCCAAGTAGGCCTGCATCATCATCGTTTTGGAGAGCACGGCTCGCTGGTCTTACGGGAAATACCACATAACTCGAGTGTCGCAGAAGGTATTAACCGCGCTTAGTGTTGTGCGTAGGACTCCGTGCACCTCCTCCGATGGACGCCAAAAACCAAGAAAAGAAAAAGACCTAAAAAGAAAAAAAAGGGAAGGAAAACAATCGGCAAGATGACGCGAAGAGAAAGAGGGGGAAAAAGTGAAATAGACAACAGAGAAATACGATAGAATGTCTGTTCCATTCTCGCTTTTGCCTTGCCGATCCTTCAACCTGTATCTTGCATTGCCGTCTGTGATGGTCAGCAAGGTTGATTGATTAGACAGGAGCATCACATTGGGCTTCCTCGAACCTGGAATTCAGTCATGGCCGCCCCCCGCCACCAACCACAATCAAATATAGAACCTTTTGAAAGGTGAATCTGTGATATAGGGCAAGGAGACCTGCGACGCGGGCTCCTTATTATTTTCCCCTCTCTTTGTCACACCTGGTGAGAGGGGGAAAGGGAGGGGCTCGAGGATCTTGCGTAGGTGCGAGCGAACCGCATGAGTTGGATGCAGCAAAGGCCCGTCCAACCTGCAGACACTCCCTCGCTCACTTGCAAGAAGCGGCGATTTTGTCCGTCTGATGAAGTCTGTCATTATACTTGGTCTCTGCCCCGCTTCCTATGGTCGCTGAACAATGCTGAGCTGCAACCGAGATAATCTTCTGTCACAATCTTTGTGGCGCAGTCAAGCGGCGGGGATGCACTGAGCTACCTCGGCTTTCTATCGTGGTAATTGCCATTTTCATATATGTCTGGCTTTCCTCGAATCCTGACCAGGCAGATGGTTTCGGGCGGGGATAGAGCCAAGATTAGGCGAACCATTGATGGGGGGAAGGAGAAAAGATGCGAAGGAAGAAGAACAAGAAGTCGGACGAAGACGAGGAGATGCGATTAGAAGAATGGATCCATTAGGAAGAGAAAACGCCCAATTAGGAAGGAACGTGACTACGGGGCCGGGCTCCACTGCCTACCAACAAGTAGAGCTGATACTGAGCTCGGAGAGTCCGAACATCACGGCCCTCAATTCTCTTTTCACCTCCCTCCCTAGAGGAAAACGAACGGGCACAATACCGACCAGGTCTCATGATGATCTTCAGGACAATGGAGACAGCGGCCTGTACATCTCGCTCCATTCCTTACTCTACATACCATACCCCCACTAGTCCCCTAGTCACTCGTTGCCAGAAGCCCTATCCTGGTATCACCTGCATTGCATGGCATAAACTAGCATGATCTCAGTTCTTTGCTTTCTTGGAGAAGACGGGCCAAGCCTTCTGCGCAGAAAATGACAGAGCCGGAATTGAATATCTTGCGCCTCTCCAGATCGAGTAAGATTCCCAGCAGAAGCAAGCAAATGCCCATGAGCGGTTGGCGGGGAGGAGTAGTGCTGACGTCTTGGATGCCGACAATTATTCCCAGAGGTAGAGGAGGCCCCCGCCTTGAAAGCAGCCTTATACGCGCAGAGCTTAACACCCATTGTTTAGGCGTATACACAGCCTAAAAACCGCTTCCGCCCTCAAAGAGTCATTGCCGGATGACCCTCGCGCACCGAGCGATGACTATGTTGACTCGAAAATCCCTACGGGATCCGGCGATATACCACACAAGTAAAAGAGCTGATGGCCTTTCCAATATTCTAGGGCCGTTTTACCAGGAAGTTAAGACTGCCGATGGTTTGGACGAGGAGGAGGAGGAGGAGGAGGAGGAGGATCAGCCGCTCCGATGAGGACCGGATGCTCGCGACGGAGTCCCATTACTCCGAGAATCCCTTCAGTTGAGCCCAATGATCTAGTGAACGAGAGTTGGAACGTATCCTCAAAGTCTATTGTCATTCGCCGCATGCCAGCTCATACTCGGGATGTAGCAAACAAGGAGCAGCTAATCAGAGGAAGAGTCGATGAGGTGAAGGTGCATGGCATTGTACTTGGTCAATCAAAACCAGGCCCGAACAGTGACCATGCGTTCTCTGTTCGACATCAAATATCAGGGAAGTGGGAAGTGGAAGATATCAATGGAAAAGATTATACATTGAAAGTACATGGTTTGTTAAAGGTGATAACTGGCCAACAAGATCCATTGGCTTACTCAATTTGTCCCACCACCCATGACTACTACTTAGCATACTACTGCGCTCAGGTGTTTGCTCCTCACTCTCATTTGTCTTTACTTTGGTGACAATCACAAATGGCGATCAGGAAGAACAATGCTAGCCTCACCGGTTGAAAGAAGATCGAAGCTCTCGTCACTGGCTGCGGTTGTGGGAGGACTCAGACCCGTGCTTTCGACCGAAGCAAAGGACTTTTCCTTTTCGAGCAAGGACAAGGATACACCGGCATGCTTCGTTTGCCAACGCTTGTCACCAATCCACTCCAAGCCGTCACCCGCCCCGCGGACGCCCGCCTTCCGACGAGCCTTCTCCCGTTCGAGAAGAGGAAGGCTTTCTTCCGTAGCAATTGACTCACCAACGGGCAAGTCCAGATTGCGATGGTGCCACTCGCCCAGAAACATTCCATCCGGGTCAACATCTTGGCGCACCTTCATCCATTCGTCCATGCCGCCACCGTACAGCTGCCTTAATTCATCGCGCGTTGCGACGAAGTTCTTGGCCCAGTGCGGTCTGGCTCCCATCTCACGCATGAGCCATTCAAAAGCCTCGTAGTAGCGAGCCGTGCAGGGGGGATCCCGATGGTAAGGACGATAGAGAGTCGCATTTAGATACAAGGTCGGACCGTCAGAGCAACTAGGATCAAGGAATGGGCGGGGGTTCTTATTGAGTGTAGAGTCGGCAACTCTGACTTCGATCGGACAATGCACCCAGAGTCCGTCAACAGAGAATGGAATACGTGCCGTTTCAGCATCGCCGTTCAACCAGGCAGAAAGCCGGGTAATAGCTTCCGGTCCCTTCTCCAAGGGGAGCGCCCATTCGTTGACGAACTGCGAGTAGAGACAGTTCATGAGCAGACCGTCGCGGGCCGGCTCCACGGCTTCCGTGACCTTGGTTTCTTCCTTGAATCCATACTGCAGGCCAAAGACAAACCACTCAACCCATGGCAGGATGCGAGGGAAGTAGTTGGCCAGGGCGAGCAGGTTGTGATAGATGTGGTAACCGACGGTTTCCCCATAGAAAGTCTTCGGCGGAGGGCGCACCGGAAGATTGGTCTTGTCTGCATGCCAAACGACCGCGCTCTTCTCATACGGCATCCACCAGACCCGTACGAACTCATGCGTGGTCCACAATCCAGTCGACCATTCATCCAGAACGCTCGAGAGCTTCCGGCGGGTCTGCCGCCATGCGACCTTGAAGGTGGGCTCAGCTTGTAACGTGACTTCGACAATGATGCCTAGGGCACCGAGGGAGATAAGGGCGGCGCGGAAGAGGTCAGGGTTACTCGTTGGACTGCATCGCACCACTTGCCCATTGGCCAGCATTAGTGTCAGGGACACAATACATTCGGAGATCAGACCATGCTGTAAGGAGCTCCCATGTGTGCCCGTTGAAATGACTCCCGCGATCGACTGACTGTCGATGCTACCCAGATTCGACAAGGTAAGGCCATGCTTCTCCAACTGCTTTCCTAGGTCTCTCAAGCGTATTCCAGCCTGCACAGTGACCACGCCGGTCTCAGGCGACACCTCCAACACGCGACTGAAATCATCGAGGTTGACCAGCCAGGAGGACGTGCAAGTCAGATCCGAGGGGGAGTGGCCACTCCCAACGGTGACAAGACGACGGCGACAGTGACGGGCGAGGGTGACGAGTTTCTGGATCTCAGCCAGAGACTGCGGACGGACGTAGAGCTCCGGTCGGGAATAGAATGTCCTGGCCCAGGTGTGATGCAAATGATCGGTGGTGGCGCGAAAGGGCACGGCGGGATCGAGCTGCGAAAGTTTGTGAATAATCGCGGAGTCCATGGTGGTGGTGGTGGTGGTGGTGATGATAGTATTGACGGTGGTTATTCTCTCCGACTGAGGCTCAATCAAGGCATACTGACCTATGCAGAGAGACGTTCAAGTCTCTCACAACAATGAAGAAAGTGTGAAGGAGTGTGTGAGTGAGCGGAGAAAGATGGAGGTGAAATCAGCGCGCAACACTGAGGGGCGAAAATTAAAAGATCGCGCGGGGTGGAAATTAACGGCCGATGACGAGCCGCGGTGGGTCGATTGCCCATCACAACTTTCTTATCTTGATCTTTGAAAGGTCAGTCAATTATTTACTGTAATCATCTTCTGATAGATGATTGCCGTGGTTCCGCATATCCTGGAATTTAAGACTATTCGGATTTCTGGACAGTGCGCTGATAATCACCTGTGTCCTACAGCTCCAGATAGACGCTGTTCTGATGGGCCACCAACCCAAATGAACATAAAATTAGATTGATTCAATTTACACCCCTCTCTCAGTTGAGCAGGATTATCATAGATGCATCCAAGCAAACCTCATAACTCTCTCAACAATCAGTAAGCACGCAGTCCTCTGAAAATGTCAAGCTGGTTTGAAAACTTGAACCGAACAATGTACACTGACACATACACATATGCTGTAAAAAAGGTCGCCATTTCACTCCGCCTTCCAGGCTTTCTATATTCACACTTCTCAAATTTGTAGCCAGGAACTATTCCTGTGCGAACCAGTATATACACGATCTAAATGCAAAGACGCTATAGCCAACGACAGAAAAAAGAAAAGGGAAAAGGAAATAGAAAGAGAAAACAAAAAGACAAATCAGGGTATGATGCTCTTAAGAATATCGGAAGAAGGAAAGGTGGTCAGAATCTAGGGGTTGCGAATCGCCTCAATTGCCGCGTTCAGAGGGAGCACTTGCGGAATACTTTGCCACGAGCTCGTGTTCCACTTGCGGAATACACTGCTACAGCTCTCAGGAACTCCGCCGAGGGAGACGAAGGTCTTCGGGATGAATGGCCGATCTTGGAAAGAGGCCGCTAGGATGCTGTATTCATGCGCAAAATAGACCGCTGAAGCGAATTCGGCAGCGCGGGCGGAGGCTTGTTCACCCACAATCCTGTCAACATATGTTTAGCGTGCGACTTCGAGTCGTTCGGATCCTCGAGGCAACTTACACATAGATCTCAAAGTAGGTATCAAGGACGTAGATTCCTCTGGCATCAATGTCCTTCTGACAAAAGGGATCCACCTCTTGCACGGTATCGTTTGGACGAGTGATTGGGGAGGGAGAACCGGCTCGACGCATCCAGAACCCAGCCCGCTGCTGGCCAAGCTCATGGTCCACACGAAGTAGTCGCGTGCGATACCGGTCAAGCTTGGGCTTCAGTTGCCAGTCATTGGCGCCCTTCTCATCTGCTGTCCTTTCGTACTGCGGGAAGACTTCAAAGAAGCTCTCGGGCTCTTCTCCTTCACCTACTTCCTCGAATTCACCCGTAAGGCCAAGATCCATCCCAATCAAGCGAGCCGCACCAATTTCTTCTGCCGAGCTGCCGAGTCCTTTCCAGAGAAACAACTTGCCGAACATAGCGGAGATCACAAAAGGATAGCCGGAGCAAAGGCTGCTAGGCGAGAAGTTCACTTCGTCAAAAACCATCTGTCCTAGGTGCTTCCGTCCGCAGAGCATGAAAATAGCGGAGGAACTGGATCGTGAGCTAGAACCACGACGCGTGATGAGAATGCCACCTAGAGCCTGAATGAACCGCGCTGGCTCCTTGCCTTGCTTGATAATCTCGAGCTTGCATCCGTTTTCTTTCGCCATTCGTCGAGAGAAGGGCTGAGCATCGTCGACAGCCGCATCGGGAACGTCGTCACCACACCAGAGGTGGATCTCAGAACGCACATTGCCGTCCGCCTCAAACATATGCACGCACAAGTACATGCTTCCCTCGTACAGAATATACTCTTGATTGACGGGAAGATCTTGCTTCTTTCCATCACCTGTGATCTCCCATATTTGGCGTTTGAGGGTTCGGATTTTCGTTTCGTCGCCGCCTTTGCCCAACAGCACCTGAGCATCGACATTCACGCGATCGCTTGATTTAGGCAACGGCCTGAAGAAAGTGGAAATCGCTTCCCATGATTCGTCAGCCAAAGGAACAAGCGAAGCTGATGACCGTGGCGAGGAGAATCGATCGACGGAGGCTCGAGAACCCTTGGGAGGAACCGGGGGCGAAGGCAAAGCTTTGTCTCTAGAAGAAGCGCCTTTGATCCCTACAGAAGCAAAGTAGGATGCGGGCTTTTGGTACGGTGCGGGTGGTGCTGAGCCCAGGTTCTCCTTAAAACTGGTTCTCAAAGGCGACGGGGAAGGTGACGAAAAGTGAGTCGGGACGTTCCTCGTAGGGGTGGATGGCAACGGTGCGGTTTTCGGAGGCAAGGGGGGCTTTCCGAGGAGAGAGCTGCGCAAGCTGGCGACAAGACCAGTACTCTTGCTATCTTCGGAGCGAGGAGAACCCTGGATTGGTGGTGTTGGAGGCTCGACGCTCCGGTCATTGGGCGTCGGCAGAGATTGTCGATCGACCAATGGCGGCGTAACTCTTTTGATTCTTATAGATAATGGCGAAACAGGCTGGGTTGCGCCTGCGTGGGACTCGGACACAGAGGCATTATGGGAATCGGCCTCGGTGTTAGGAAGTGGCCAACCACTACTAGTACTAGCAGTAGCGACGCCCACGGATTGTTCAACATGCGAAGCGCCTAGTATGGGACTCTCCAGATCGGGAAACGGCGACCGGCGTTCCTTTCTGTCAAATGCATCATCTGCCACCTGAGTGCTCTCCACAATCCTCTCTTCTGCAAGCTTCTCTGCTGCGAGCTTCTCGTCGGCGAGTCTCTGCTCCTCTGCGAGTCTCTGCTCCTCCGCCAGTCTCTGCTCCTCAGCGATTCTTGCCTCCTCTGCGAGCCTCTGCTCCTCCGCCAGTCTCTGCTCCTCAGC